TTAATGATTATTATCTATATTATCTAAATAGCGCAAAATCACTAAATTTAAGCATCTTCATTCAAATCCAGAAACTCAATGAACAAAACACTTCAATCAAGGAAACACTCGATAGACAAAACACTTCAATCAAGGAAAAATTTGATGAACAAAACGCTTTAATCAAGGAAAAATTTGATGAACAAAACGCTTTAATCAAGGAAAAATTTGATGAACAAAACGCTTTAATCAAGGAAAAATTTGATGAACAAAACGCTTCAATCAAGGAAAAATTTGATAAACAAAACGCTTCAATCAAGGAAAAATTTGATGAACAAAACGCTTCAATCAAGGAAGTTATCGTTAAATTCTCTGAGCTCTACAATAAAATGAGCTATATTGAAGGTATTCTTAGTGTTACAAGTCCAATCGAAAAAAATGAAAAACAAAAATGATCTTCCTCAACAATATAAACAACATTATTGCGGCAAGACCAGATGTTACATTGAAATCTATGGAAAAACATAATACTATTTATAACTGATAATATAGTTACTATACTAAATTTACTTGATGTATTAAATGTTTCTTTCTCTCGCTAAATTTATTAATTGAGAAAAATAAACAAAGCTTATTTTAATTACAATTGCAAATTAGATATACTTTTACGTGTAATATAAGCTTTTGGGATATACCTAATATTTATAATATTCCAATTCGCCCAATACATTATAATAAATGTGTTTCTATTTTTTTTATTGCAACATTAAAGAATTTGCCACATCATCATCCGCAGAATGCAAATTAGAGGATATTTTGCGTACGTAATGAAAGAACTTTCGGGAAACATGCATCAAGCAACACGGTTAAATTTTTGCCGTTTACACGCTTAAATTGGATTTAAAAATAGTAGGCGCTGCGACTCATTACGTAATACTTTACTGTGCTGGTCCTTTGCGGTTGGGTTAGCTTCGTTAACCCTGTGGACTAACATTATAGAAATTTTACTCTCGACAGGAATTTGTTCAATATTATGTGAAAAATGAAAGACTTGCTTTATTAATACTCGAAAAATAAATTGGGAATGCGCCTGTGATAAATGACGAAGTTTATACATTTCCTTGTAAACTCGACTTCATCCAGATCTGTCTCTGATTCGGAATTATAAAAAGACTTGTCATTAATCGGATACTTGCAAAATGGTACAAAGATTCTTTCTGTATATCAATTTCTAATACGAGATTGGCCTTTGGCTTTTTAATAACCTTAAAATCAAATAAAGTTTCATCACTATCAGAGATCAGTCTATCTTTCCGAAAATGATGCTTAGTATATTTTTCTCCCAGCCTATTGGCTAAGTTTTCGCCAATAAAATTCTCACTAGATGTTTTATCAATTAATGCCTTAACTGTATGGTATACAATCTCAATTCCAAATTTTGCATTCTACATAAGCCATTTTGAGTGTTGTATTCTATAATTGAATAATTCTTGCTCCAGAAAAAAAAATATATATAATAATTAGATTGCCATTTCATTGAACATTTGCTGTATTTATTGTATTACTACTAGTCTAGCTTATTCAGGTAAGCTAGAAATGTGAGATGTATATTCTTTTTGGTACATCTCTAAGAGCTTGACTATCATTGCTCTTTTTTCATCTTGATCTTCTTTGACTAAAAATAATACATGATCTTTTAATTGAATGCCTACATTCTTAGCATAAAATACTTACTTTCTAAAGAGACAATCCTGTAAACTTGGATCAGTATCAATTTGCATATTTTAATCCATAGCTTTTTGATCTGTTAATAATATCTTATCTATTAGATCATCAAGCAAAAATTCTTTTAAGATTGAAAAGTAAGTATTTATAGCTATTTCACTTATATCCTTCTTACTAACCCCCTTATGCTTTAATTTTGTGATCTTGTTTGCTAAGATATGGAAATAAGATTTGGTCTGGATATACATAGACTCTGTAATTACATTTCCTGAGATCTTATCCTTAAATTTACCAACATTTAGATCCTCATTGAGATCAGGTTGATTAGACATATCATTATAGATATCTTCAATTTCAACATAAAATATAAATAAATCTGTATCTATATAGCCAAGATAGATATTATTTTCCTTTAAATATTTATAATAGAATTTATGCATGTTGTTAATTAAAATAGCTTTGATCTAATAATTACTTTCCATAAAAATATGATTATTAGAACTATTTCATCGAGAGTTTTCCAATAAATATAAATTCAAAGTTATTGAACCAATAGAAGCAAAGATAATTCAAAAAAAATGACTACTTTTATAACTTTATAGATTACTACTAAAGAAAACCATAATTTCTTATGCTACAGCCTAATGATTAAATGATTAAAACTTCAGAAATAATAATAACATCATTAATTAAGTTTATAATAATTATTTAAGTTTAATAAGTTTCTTTTTCTACTTAGTTAACATAATTAATGAAATTTATAATATTTATTTAATTTTTATAGTTTTTACTTTATCATTAATTAGTAATAAAAGTATTTATATAAATAAAATAGAAAATTTCTGTAGTAAAAAAATCAGTTAGTTAAGTTTTATAGTTAGTGAAGTTAGCTAATAAATCAGTTTAGATTCAGTTTAGTTTTAATTAAGTTAATTAGAAGAATTAATTATGAAATTCATATTCTGATAAATTCATGAACAAGAGTTATTTAGTTTATTGAATCATTTTAATCTACTTATATTTTATTAATAAATCAAATATTATCCCTATAATATTAATCTGTCATACTTGTGACTTAAAACCCAATATATTATAATTACTCTTCTATTGTATTCAAATTATTCTTACATATTTCCAATTTATATTTATATATCCTTAACATTTCCTATGCTTATAAATTAATATATTATTAATTCAATAGTTTTATTAATGCAAATAAGTTTTTAAGATTATTAAGTTAATCATTATACTTCAAATATCTATAATCTTGCTCTATGTATTAAAGTATATTTTTCAGTCAGTAGTTTTTGCAATTGACTCAAATAATAATATGAAGTTTGCTAAGACCTAAAACAGATGCTTCAACTATAATAGACTTATTAAGAGTAAATTAGTAAAGATGAAGAAAGTAAATAATAATAAAAAAGTGTATTTCAATAAGAATATGATAAATTAAGAATATTTTATAGTTTATCTGACTATTATTGGCTTAATATATAAATATAAAGTTGATTTTTCAAAGTTTGAATGCATATTTTTTGATGAAGAAAAAAATATTTTGAATGGAAAGAAAAATTCAAATATGTATAAAAGTTTTATCATAAGTATTACAGTGATTATATTTCTAAGCAGAATTGTATAGATCAGTTTAGATGAGTTTAAGAAATTCAAGAGTGGGTAATTCTTTTAAAAGAAGTTTATATTTATATTCGTATTTATAGGATTATTTATCCATATAGTAATTATTTCTTTAAAAATTGTAGAAGTGAAAGATCTGATATTAATGTAGCTTCAAAAACGTTTTTTAATAATAAAATGGTTAAGAAGCTGAGATGACAGTTATTACTAAGAAAACTTAGTAAAACTGAAGCCGCTATGGTGGTTATTACTAAGTTTCTTAGTAAACTGAAGCTGCGATATCAGTTATTACTAAGTTTTCTTAGTAAATCGAAGCTGCAATGACGGTTATTACTAAGTTTTCTTAGTAAACTGAAGCTGCGATATCAGTTATTACTAAGTTTTCTTAGTAAATCGAAGCTGCAATGACGGTTATTACTAAGTTTTCTTAGTAAACTGAAGCTGCGATATCAGTTATTACTAAGTTTTCTTAGTAAATCGAAGCTGCAATGACGGTTATT